ATTTTTTGGTTTTGTTTGTTGTTCGTACTGATTGGTTCCATGTGCACGTGACCTGTTTTGATTGGTTGAAAAAAATGACTGAAACACAAACAGAAATCAGTCGAATCACTTTTGGTTCCATGTGCAACTGTCCTATTCTGACTGGTTGGAAAAAAAAATCGGCCGTAACACAAACAAAAATCAGTCGATTGATGCCTAGTCACTGAGAATCAGTGAAATTTCCACATTCGTAGGGGCAAGGATGGCAACGCATCGGGTTTGGGGCGGATATCCGTGGGTTTCGGGTTCTGCGGGTTTGGATTTGAGGCTGGTTTTTCATCCATGGTTTTCGGGTTCGGGGGCCCGAAACCATTTGGGTTCGGTTTCGGGTTTAGTTTTTCACCCGTGGATATCCAATGGATATCCGAAATAAATCATTTGGAATTAAAACTCATGTTTTATAATATACTAATAATAATTTGTTTACTTAGATTATTAAATTTATTTAAAGTTGACTCGTGAAAATATTTATTATTTGTTGCCTCTTGTTTATACATGTGAATATGTGTATATATATCCACAGGTTTCGGGTATCCATTCGGGTTTTGGGTATCTGTTCGGGTTTTGGGTATCCGCGGGTTTGGTTTTGGTGATAGATTTTCACCCGAATCGATTTTCGGAGCGAATTAAGGTTTTGATTTTGGATTTCGGTTTTAGGTAGACGGAGACTCCACCCGATCCGAATATCCGAGCCCAGCACGAGACGCAAGCAAAGCCCACATAGCATCTCTCTCTTTCTCGCACGCACGCCCCAGAGCGCAAAACCCCCAACCCCACCTTCCCGTCCCCGTCGCAATCGCAACCCCCGCCGGGCGCTACCTAGGTCACGCCACACGCCACCTCTCGCCCGGCTCCGACGATGTCGGCGCCCTCCGACGCCGCACCGGCAGTATCCGCGCCCGCGCCCACGACCACCGCCGCCGCCTCCAGCGGCGGGTTCACCTTCAAGCTCCACCCGCTCGTCATCGTGAACGTCTCCGACCACCACACCCGCGTCAAGGCGCAGGCCGCCTGCTCCGGGGACAGCTCCTCCTCCTCGTCCGCGGCGGGGGCGGGGGCGGGGGCCGGGCAGCCGCCGAGGGTGTTCGGGTGCGTGATCGGGGTGCAGCGTGGTCGGACCGTGGAGATCTTCAACAGCTTCGAGCTCGTGCTCGACCCCGTCTCAGGCACCCTCGACCGCGCCTTCCTCGAGAAGAAGCAGGAGCTCTGTAAGCTCCTACTCGAATCTGGGGATTTTTTTAGGGTTTCACGACGCCTGGAATCGTAGGGAATGCTAGGGTTTTGTGGATGGTTTGATGAGTTCTTTGTTACGGCTGTGGCTGTGCAGATAAGAAGGTGTTCCCCGACTTCTACGTGCTCGGCTGGTACTCCACTGGAAGCGATGTGCACGACACCGACATGCAAATCCACAAAGCCGTGAGTTTTTACAACCTTTTCTTCAAGTCCTTGAATCTGTTATCTGTGTGACAATGTCACTTTGTGCTTGGGCATTGGTGTTTGCCCATGTTATGGAGAAAATGTGTCGGTTTCAGATTGTAATAATTCACTGTTCATTCACTTGATGATGCTAACCCTGACCTACGGTGGCACTTATGGATTCTTATTTCTACATGTTATTAGGCCTATTTAACATGCCTATTGGTTTAGTAAGTAAAACAAGCAAAAGAGACTGCTTCAATGTTTCTGGAATTTGGGAATTCTCACTGTACAAATGTAACTGGTGCTGAATCAGATGGCTAGTAATTATAGCTGCCAATAACCTCATAATGTAACACATTATGCTTCTAATAAGGTTTCTTTTGAAGTTTCATGCTTAAAAATACATAGTATACGGCAGCAAGATTAACAGCTGAAAATGTCATTGCAGTTGCATCTTTCAGAGCCTAACTTCAAGGCAGAATTAAGTAACAAGCAGTAGCTTTGGATGTTTGATCATTTTCACAATATTAAGTTTCCCTCTTCTATGCAAAAATTGCTTACCTTCTGTACAGAAAAACCATATGTTACTTACCTCTATAGAGCTTCACCTGAGTTCGTGTGACTGAATGGAACGATGGCTATACGATTTTGGCTTGAGAGGAGAGTTGAGGAATTGCCTGCCAGCATAGACATTTGTTTGATCTGTGATGTATATATTCATCTGACTCTGCATAACGTTCTTTTATTTGTATTATCCAGTTGATGGATGTTAACGAAAGCCCTGTTTATCTTCTATTAAATCCTACAATCAACCTCTCCCAGAAGGATCTCCCTGTGACTATCTATGAGAGTGGTAAGTCAATATGGATTTAAGTTTGGAATCATTAATGTATTGCAACTTGTTTCTCCTGTGTTTGGTTCTAACCTGAACCTGTTTATGCAACTTCAATGATTTATATGTGCTTTTGACTATTAGCGCTTGATTTTGTGTGTACATAGGTTTTGGTTATGCACGCATGTTGCTCTGAATCTTGATCAGTCTTAGATTGCCAAGTCGCATTGCCATACTAGTTATCATATTGCTCTTTAAATTCAGGGTTCAGAGCAAGAAAGGATATTTATGAATTTATGAAGTTTGGTGCTGCTGTATTAATAAGTTTAAACTTTTTTCTTTCGTGTCGACACATTTCCTTTTTTATGTAAAAAATGTAAATGCTCAATTTTTTAATTTTGTATCAGGCAACCCCTAAAGTTTATTTCCAGGTGCCAATGTTAACTACATAAGCCATTAGGTTCTACCATGTGTACAAGTATAACGTGAATAGCCCCTGAACTGTTCCACTTGTATACTTAACCAGAGAGTTTTATCAATGTTTTCTTGTCACGCTCTCACTTTGTTTTTCTGTCAAATTGTCTGCTAATTGCTTCTTTATTTTCTGTAATTTGAAGAGTTGCATGTCATCGATGGGAGTCCTCAGCTCATCTTTGTCAGATCAAATTATACAATTGAGGTAAGTGTTACCCCTTGTGCGTCTAGCTATATATGATTTTTTTTAACATTAGTATGCTTGATCAAAGACTGTAGAGGCTGAGAGGATTTCTGTGGACCATGTTGCCCATCTCAAACCTTCTGATGGTGGCTCAGCAGCAACTCAGTGTAAGGATTATACTTTGAAGACCTCTCATCAGACAAAGCCCTGGGGGGTGGCTTCCCTGTGGCTTTGCTTTCTCAACATTATTAGTCATACTATCTGAGGTATTTTTCTGGACAGAATTGTACTAATCGATGCTTTTGTGCAGTGGCTGCTCATCTTACAGGAATACACAGTGCCATCAAGATGCTCAATAGCAGGGTCCGTGTTATCCATCAGTATCTTGTTGCCATGCAAAAAGGTCCGTACATATATGAAGTGCTACATTGTATTATCTCTCGCTACTGAGATAATGCTCTATCGTGCTTGTTCTCCAAAACATGCTTCCATTCTTATTTAAACATAAAAACCTTTAGAACTTTAATTTCCCATATACTTGTTAATCACCCTGTTGGACTTTTTTGACTTGAGAAATTTAACTGCAAAGCCTTTTCTTCAACTGCAGGTGACATTCCAGTGGATAACTCGCTGCTTAGGCAAGTCTCAAGCCTCGTAAGAAGGCTACCAGCTATGGAGTCACAGAAATTCCAAGACGACTTCTTAATGGTATGCTAGTTTCATTCCTCATCTTAGGCAAAGTGCTTTCTCTTTTGATATGAAGAATACATTATTTGAATTGCCAGCTATGTTGCCAGTAAAGATCGCTTTTCTGTAATTTTCTCAACGTTGCATAGTTAATGTATGTGTAATAATGATGATGACATTCATTGTTTCCAGGAATACAACGACACTCTCCTCATGACTTACCTGGCAATGTTCACCAACTGTTCAAGGTTTGTACTCACCTCTTTCACAGATGAAGTTCCTTATTCTTCTATACCTTATATTGTTCTTTGTTGGAAATTTCACCTGTGTTGATTTCAACTTTATAATTTGCAGCACAATGAACGAGTTGGTCGAGAAGATCAACACAAGCTACGAGAGACCGACTACCAGGAGAGGAGGCCGAGGTGCTTTCATGTAGCTTACCTGCTGTGATCCTGCTGCGGCTTTCATCTGTGGAGATTTTTTGGAAAAAATAGCTTATGTTCCCGAGGCATTTTTTTTTGCATCTATTATGTGCAATCGGCTATACGGCAGCTCTCGAGTCACTACAAACTTTCTAGGCAAAAAATGATGATTTGCTCGAACTGTATCAAATCCCACTTGTGCTGAAGTTGGTCTGTAAAGTTTCTCTCCCTAGTTATTCTGGCCCCGTTCGCTTCGCTGAAAAAACAAGCTGAAATACTGTTCCGGCCTGTTTCGGCTGATTTGTTGTGAGAGGAAAACACTGACGGAGTTTGCGTCACGCTCACGGTCAAAAAAAACTTTGAAATCATTTGTTACGCTGTTTGATGTAACGTTATGATCGATGGGCACGGCAGAACGCAGCTGACCCGATCCTATTGGCAGGATTATATATTCTTTGAAGATTAGAAGATACATCTCAATATTCAGAACAAGACAAGAAATTAGCTGTGATGTAATCAGCCACTCTTCCTACTGAGGGCTTACTTCATAAATCATCATCAAAATAAGAAAAGAAAAGGTACCATAGAATCCTGAAGAAATTGTCCAAAAGAAAACGCACCATAGAATAGTTCTTTGACACAAGGAACCATAGAGCACAAATGGTACATGTTTAATCAAAGGTAAAATAGGGCATTACAGTATCAACTCAAATGGCAATAACAACACATACTGAAGAAAACGAATGTTGGGTTGACACTTCTACTGCAACCCATGTCGCAGCCTCACAGGCGCTGCCACAGATGGGTTAATCCTGCACATCTACTGAAGAAAACGAATGTCTGTTGCCACACATGGGTTAATCCTGCACATCAACTGAAGAAAACGAATGGCTGGATGACACTTGTTCCTGCAGCCGATGTCGCAGGCATTGCAGCACATCTACTGAAGAAAACGAATGTCTGGATGGGACTTGTTCCTGCAGCCCATGTCGCAGGCGTTGCAGCAGATGGTTAATCCAGGCTTTCGCTCCAGAACCTCCGCAACTGTCGGGCTGCAGCCACGACGTTGTGCCACATTCTTACCGACGCCAAGCCACCGCAGCCCTCGGAACTGTGGTGGCTCAAAGTGTCTCAGGAAGTTTCGAGACAGCTTACTGCAGTAGGCAAGATCAAGCATTCTCAGGGAACATTTACTGGAGTCGCATCCCATAGAACCTAGCACTTCGAGAGATTTAATCAGTTATGAGGAGGCAGTTCCGCAGACACAGGCTGCTTATCTGCTCACAGTTCCTGGCAATCACTGTCACAGCCCGACATGATATTCTTGGTACATTCCCGATGTCAAGCGAAATTAATGTTTTGTTGATGGTGCCAGTCCCGCACAACAGTGAAGCTATTCCATTACTGCCGATCCTTCTGCACCCTCTCAAGCACAAAGAAGATATCAGGCACCTCCCATTACCGAGTGCTGATAAACCCGCATCAGTAATGTCAGCTCCAGCAAGATCCAGTAGAGTTAGGTTGGGGAGCTTTGAGATGGAAACCAAGCCAGAGTCTGCAATGCTCTTGCAACCCGAGAGATCGAGAACCTTCAAGTTAGTGCAGGGTGCTAGAGATTTGGCGGTATCACTAGTTAGGAGAGCACAGTTAAGCAACCTCACTTCTGAAATGTTTGGAGCTGCCTTTTCAAGATCTAGGCATGCCAAGTCTGACAAGCACGAGCCGTTGCTGACCTCAAACTTCTTCAGGTCCTTCCCAGAGTGGAGAAGGGCTGCATACCCTGCATCACTTACTTTAGAGAACCCACCAAATCTAATGGTTCTGAGTTGCTTGCATCCGTCAGCGAGCATCAGTATCCCAAAGTCGTTTACCCGTCTGAAGTCGCAGCAACGACGTGTCAGAGACAAATGTCTCAAGTTGTGGCATAAGCCAAGTGCTTGAAGCCCAACATTGGTCAAATCTTCAGGCAAATTTGGTTGGGTAACAGGTTCATCTTCCAGGCACAGCTCAACCAACTTGTGGACATTACTGGTGATCAACATAACGAGTTCATCCGTTATTGTGTCGAGAACTAAAGAGAGTGATTCCAAACTGTCAGTGATGTGTTTGTTCAGAGATGTGGTTTTCAGGAAGACTGTCTTTGCCCTAGAATGAGATACAGGCTGTAGCAACAGGTCCTTGATGTTACTAGGAATGAGAGGCAATCCAGTTCCAGTCTCGTATTCAGCTGTGCGTGGATCTAGCAGAGGGAACTTCACCCAAAGAGTCTGTATTGAATATTGAAAAAATGACTGCTCAGAGCAAGCAAGCAAATTAACTGAACTTTTTCTAAAAGCTCCATAACATTATTCAAAGGCTACGGTTAATCTTATGTAATTCTGTGCATGCTTGGAAATCGAAAGACAATGAAAGCAAACAAATCTTCGAATATGCAATATTGCTACAAAGTGGCATGTTTTTAGCGAGGAAGAATATCATATTCGTAAATTGTACCAGAAAAATCTCTCACCTCCAAGTAAACACATCCCGTGTAGATAGGTGCTAGGCAAGTACCGAATCCAGAATAACGAGAATATAGAATGTCTGGAGCAACCGCCATCTCCAGCTTCAACGATCTGAATTTTTCAAATTCGGGTTAAAGGATGATTGGACTTCTCAATCACTATGACTTGAAAGCAATGTCCCAAATTCCAGATCATCAATTGCATAATCCAATTTCATTTTGGCAAATGACGAGAATAAACAGGAATGCGCATAGTTCCAGACGCAATCTTCTGAAGCAATTTTACATTCGCGTGCATATACGAAGGCATGAACAATACAGTGCTGAAGAACCGCACCTTAAATTGCGGCATCCCGCGCCAACAGCCACAAAGAAGCTCATGGAGAAGGAGCACTTGAGCAGCGAGAGCTCGCGCAGGCTACCCCTGGCGATGACGGAGGCGGCGGAGTCGTCGAGGAGGCTGCAATTGACGGTGAGGCTGCGGACCGCGCCGTTCCCCGCGAGAATCCTGCCTAGGATGGCGTTCGACGAGGCAAAGGCCTGCAGCGGGCGAGCGACCGAACCGAAGCCCCAGGAGGTTAGTGGAGGAAGGTAAGGAAGAAGGGGGAAACGGAGGGGAGGGGAGGGTGAAGCTCACGGAGAGGTCGATGGCGGTGAGGGCGGAGAGGGCGGCGTTGGCGGCGGCGTGGAGCGAGCGGCAGGACGCGGCGGCGGAGCAGGCGTCGTCGAGGTCGAGACGGCCCAGCACCTCCACCAGGAGCGCCTCGGGGAGCCTCTCGACCAGGCGGCCACCGCCGCCGCCGCTGCTCTCTGCGGTGCCGGAGGGCTCGCCGTTGCAGCCGTCTCCGTCGCCGTCGCCGGCGGTCCGGGGCTTCTTCTCCGCTACTGTGTCCTCCATCCCCTTCGCTTCTGAGCCGGGCTGGCCCCGCCGCCTGCAGCAGAGAGCGTGGACTCTGGATTGAGAAGTGCACAGATTTGCAGGGAGGAGGAGGAGGAACGGGAGGATATGCCGCTGACACCCAGGGACCACACGAGCACGGTGTTTGGATGACTGGTCTAGGAGAAAACTGTGTCTATGACATGTGGGCCCCTTTTACAGTCACCGACGGTGGTTTATCAAGGATTTCGGTAGCGTATAAGGAATTGTTCCTTATCATATTTGACATTAATAGGAACGTCCAATCCGCGCGCCTTTTAGAATTTAAATTCTTTCAATTCTAGCCGGGCTAAGTTTTTGAGCCATCATGTGGTAGATATATAAGATAGGTTTGGTACTTGGTAGAGAAAAGATGCGCGTTAGGTACAGAAAAAAAAATTACTGACAAATAAAAGTGCTTATTATTTGGAATACCATACGAAGTTAGCAGAACACAGGTTGGAATACCATACGAAATGCTCCATTACTTCATCAGTACTCAACAGTTGCTATGTTTTGAAGCGTTCTTATGTTTATTTCTTTTTAACACAAAAAATCTGTTCAATAAATTTTTTTTAAATAGTCCATATGATACAGGTATTTCTTCAGCTCTAAAAGTCTCTGTGATCATTTTTTGCTACACGGGAAGGTATCATGTAGAATTGTACCTTATAGTAGCATCTGTTAAGCAGATGAACAATTGCTATTTGAGGAGTCCAAAAAGATTATCAAGACAGTATTCAAGAACCCCCTCAATCTTGTTTATTTAAACTTGGCAGCAGAAAACAAAAGAATATCCACAACAGCTTTACACTACATATGGTGGAACTTACATCAGAACTTCCCTATCAAGCTGTCAACGCATCTTCCAGTAACCCCATGAAACATGCCCTTGAAGACCTCCATTTCATCATCTTCCCTATCAATATGAAGTTTTCTCCCGGTAACTAACTTCATTACCTCCTCAAATTCATATTCTTTTCAAATCTCTGTGAGGTCATTAACGGTTAGTTAATAGTAACTACACTTGGAAAAGAAAAGGTGTTCTCCTGTTCTCCATGCTGTCCTTGCACAATCTGAATGCAAAACTAAAGTCCTTCACATTGTTCTCCAGCTTGCGTCGCCAAAAACCACCTTGGTCATCTCATGCTCACCCATAACCATAATGAAGAAACCCAAAACGTGTACTGGCAGTCAAAGTTCTGTTGCAGATGGAGATGAACAAGGAAGAGTATCAAAGTTTTATGAGCAGTGAGTGTAAATGTGACCAAATATGCTGAGAAGTGATGTTATGAAATACCTCAATTTCCACAAAGTATCAATTACACCAGTTTTCTTTTCTCATGCCTCAGGACATACATTAGTTCTGAATTCTGCTGCTAACATAAAAGTATTTGAAAACTAATGTAACTATCATAAAAGCTCACAAAAAAATAATTCAAATGACCGTCTCATGCGCCTTCTTACTGGTATCAAAAGAATCATCAATCCTAAATTAAACTTTTATATCGCTGAGTTTGCAGAACTAAAAGGGAAAAGAGATAATAAGATGGAAAAAGCTGCATGAAATGCTTCTATTTAACTTGACTGAAAACAAAATTATAAAGGAAAGACAGTTACATGTGGTGGATTTACAGCTCAATTTCTTTCCAGACGTCAACTTATATTCCGGTCTTCTTAAGGTACATGGTGTCTTTGAAGACCATCATTTTCATCATCTGAATACATAGGTTTTCTCCCAGTAACCAACTCCGTTATCTCTCCCAGTTAATAGTATCAACACTGGGAAACCAGTTCTTCTCCAAGCTATCCTTGCACAACCTGAATGTCAAATAACAGTCCCTTCCCAATTCCCATCGTTTCCAGGATCCGTGTATCTCATAATTGGTTTCAAGATCAGTGAAAAACATCTAGGATTTTAAGACTAGCACTATTGTAATGTTTTAAAAGTAGGATTTCATATAGATAGTCTAGGTTTATTCACTGATATTTCACATTTTTCAAGGAATACAGGATTCTCTCTGAGATTACTCATGTGAAACCTTCTAACAATATTTTAAAAATAATGTAGCAGACACTACAACTTAAAGCTACATGGTTATCAACAGGTGGAAGGGGGTAAAAGAGCTGTCCACATATTAGCAAAAGTATGATAAAATGTACAGTGTAGATTTAAAATTATTGATGACTGAATGATAAGTGCTATGTGCCTATGTCGTATTTTAACCAACAAAAATAATCAGAAGAATAATCTTGATGTATAATTGTAAAGGTCATGTGCATCATTTCAATCATGTTAAGAATCACAACGTTTCAATCATATCGCATGCCCTAGGTGCAAAATTTTCACAGATCTAAGAGATAATAAATTATCCTAGTCACATTAGTTTGTTTTACTTTTAGACATGCACATTATTAACTAATCATCCGAACTGATGCATCATAGAGGTGTATGCATCAAGTAGCATGCAATGTTAGTTACTTTTTAGTCAATCAGTGATGACTGATGAATAGCAAGTAGTAACTCTGGTAACTGAAAACTGTTATTGATCAGTCACAAATTTGAACATTGTTGTCAAGGAAGTTAGTATTTTTAACAAGAAACATGCAGCACAGATTTGAAAAGCTGTGTAACTATCATATGGCTCCTACAAAAAATGGAAATAAATCCAGTTGATTTTGTTTTGGTTTGTTTCCTATGCCTTTTCATCAATGTCAAAAGAATCATCAATCTTAGGGTAGGGAAACTTTGAGGGCACAATTAAAATATTTCTTGTTCTTAACAAGTAGACAATACTATCTTGGTAATGGAAAAATAAAAAAATGATAACAAGATCAAATTTTCCCAAACATAGGTTTGTATACTGCACAGAATACTTCATTTACTTCATCAACACTGATACCAAAGATGAAGATGGCGTACCTGCCCTTATAAGGGGCTCCGAGCAACGACTTTATATGGAATCAAGTTTGTTTCTTCTTGATTACAATTGGAACGCCTCTCACGTTAAGTAGGTGCAGCTAAATATCAAACTCTTATTTTTCTCCAACTAAAAGTATAAAACAAAGCCTGGACCCTAACTGAATGGAACAAACCATGACTGAACTGATAATACTCCTGAACAAACTCTATCCTAAACACTTGTGGAGACCACTGATTCCTTCTTCCTGCCATGCTCATATGTTTTCCCGATGAATGCTCCAACAACACATTCTTATGTAGTTATGTTGAATTATTACGATCCCAACCTTTTTATAAAACTCTTGAACATTAGCTAACGAAAAGTACAAAACAGAACCTTCAGCACTTAAAGTCCTTGTCATCCGTGATACTTGAATTTTTATCTTTCTATAACTTATACTAACTTTTAAGGACCTGAAAAATTGTTGTCTGAGGAGCTTGACAGGATGGTTCAATATTTGAAACCCTTTGATCAACCTCATTTCAACTTGCCTATGAAAACAAAGTGATGAAAGAATGTCAACAACAGCCTTACAGTTACAAGTGGTGGATTTACAGCAAAACTTCCTATCCAGACATCAACTTATCTTCCAGTCTTCCTATGAGATAATATGTCTTTGAAGACCTTCATTTCACCATCTGAATACGAAGGTTTTCTCCCAGTAACCAACTTCATTATCTCTCTCGCATTCCTATCCTTTGAGATAGCCATGAGGCCTTTCAACAGTTGGTTAATAGTATCGACACTCGGAAACCAATTTTTCTCCATGCTATCCTTGCACAACCTGAATGCGAAATCAAAGTCCCTTCTCTCACAGAGGTAATGGACCATTGTCTGGTAAACCTTGCTGTTTGGCTTGCATCCCCTCCCATGCATCGCGCCAAAGACTGTCTTGGCCATCTCATGCTCACCCATTATGAAGAAACCCTTGATAATTAGATTGTATGTGATCTCATCTGGTTTGATCCCCGCTGCATACATTTTCCGCACCAATTCATTTGCCTGCCACCCCCTTCCCCTGTTAATCAGGAACTGGATCCTCACATTGTAGGTAGCAAGTGTCGGGTCACAACCCCTCAGCCTCATGAGGTTCCACAAACCATCTCCAACCTCGCGCCGGCCACACTTATAGAACGCAGCCATGAGCGTCGTGTACGTGACGACATCCGGTCGCACACCAGCCCCATCCATCTCCTGCATAACCCGGTAGGCCGCACGCAAGTCCTCCATGTCACAGTACATCTTGATCACCGTATTACACGAGATGTCGTCCAGCTCAACGCCGTACTTCTCCGGCCCCTCCTCAAACAGACACAGAGCCTCATCAAACATCCGTGCTCGCAGCAGCACCTTCATGGTGGCATTGAGCGACTTGGCGGTGCGCGGGCACCCGTACATACCCATCTCCTGGAAAGTCCGCAGCGCGTGACCCGGCATCCCGGCCTTCCCGTACAGGCCGATGATCCTGACCACGAACCCCTCCCGCCTCCCCTGGGGCAGCGCCTTGTGCTGCTCGAGGATCTCCTCGACGAGGTCATTCCGCCGAGCACCCGCCAGGCGCCCCACCGCGTCCTCGAACACGAAGCGGTTCTCCACCAGGAGGCGGTTTTGCGCATTGGCCCTGAACAGCTGGTACAACCGCTCCGGGTCCCGCTCATGCTTGATCCTGACCAGCACCGGCTGCTGCTGCTCCTCCTCCTCCGCCTTCTCCTCGGCTGCGGCGGCTGCGGGGGAGGGGGAGGGATGGCCGACGCCGGGGCGGCGGCGGCGGCGGTCACCCTTGGAGGCGGAGACTGCGGCGCGGCAGGCAGCGATGGTGGGGAAGTCGGCGGGGTGAGTGGAGTGCGCGTGCGCGGAGGAGAAGGGGTGGCGGCCCGAGGGCGGGCGCGAGAGCCCCGCGGCGATGACGGTGAGCGCGACGGCGTCGAAGGCTGCGCAGAGCTTGCGGAGGGCGCCCAGGGAGAGCATCTGGCCTCGCTCGATCCCGGGGCGAGAGCCTAGGGTGCGGGGGCGGCTGCG